AAAACGCTTAAACACATATATACACCCTGTATATAAAAAAAATATTTTAAGATTTTTTAAAAATGTATAAGGTGTTTCATAAGAATAGACCATTGATTAGTCACGATCTTGCTTAAAGCTCTTGACGTTAAAGCTGATTTTTGGCAAACGGATGTCTGTGGGTTGTAAGAGGTGAAGGGAGGGGAACCAAACCGAATTCAAATTTCAAGAGGGTGAGAACGCCCTTCAATATATTACAATATTTGCTTTAATTAAAAAACGGTTAGCATTTCGGGAAAACGCTTGACAAGGCATAATTTATTTGGCTTTGTTCACATATTTTGAATTTTTAATAAACATACAGGGTGTTCAAAAAGTGTCTGATTGACCACGATTCTGCTTAAACTGCTTGACGTAAAAAGCTATTTTTTGGCAAACGATTTTTCGAAAGTCTAAATTCAACGATATGAAACTACCCTCAAATATTACCAAGTTATATAATAATCATCGCCATATTTGTTTTTTCTCATGCTGAATGCTGACATAAATGTGAGAACATTTTATCTAGTTTGTAATGTTAATGGAAATTCTTGCTTGCTTTATCATCCCCAATTACAAATGATTAATTCGACCGAACGAAGTCGCTGTACACGCTAAGTTATCTTTATAAATTATAGCCTATGTGTTATTCTGATGTATAAGCTTTATTTGAAAGTCATTAAAAAATATATGAAAAAAAAAAAAAAAAAAAAAAAAAAAAAAAAAAAAAAAAAAAAAAAAATTAATAATTATTAGTAAAAGATTTTCAAAGGCGTAAAAAATAGCCTATAATGTTTCTTAAATAAGTGTATATCTATGTTTAAAGCAGTTTTATACAAATGTCTCAAAAAGTAATGAAGTTTTAAACATTTTAAAATACTTGTTTTTTTTTAAATTTGACAAAAATGTGTAAGCTATAGCTATTTGCGAAAAAAATAGATTAATCATATGCATTGATTTCTTTTTGACCAACATTACTTACCAGGTACAACACTGAAAAACTCTTCATTAATTTTAGGAATTGGCGTAGGCTGCAGAATAGCGAGTCTGTCCGATGGTGGACGGTTACCGAAACATTTGCCCTTCATCAGGTTGCCCGAGAGTCAAGAGCCGCAAGATGACAGCGACACCGACGATCCTCCAACGGAAAAAAGTGGGTATTCACCTTTTCCCAAGCCCACTTGAACGGATACTGCCATGTATAATATCCTAGATCATATATACTTGCGTGGATAGAACTATAAAACTCTCAAATTTTAAACAGTATAAAAAAAACTTAAAACTTACTTTAAAGTAAGTTTAGTTTATTGTCGCTTCTGTATAGCTAGGGTATTCTTGGGTTGGGGTATCATTCAGGAAAGTATATGTGGTCTAGGCATATCACTCATATTTTTTCTCTAGAAGATATTAGATGGTTAGTAAATATTGGACCTAATATTTTTATATATTCAAAGTTTTTTACCAAAAAAAATTTAACTTCTTTTTTTATTAAGTATTGATGACAGTTCTAATAATTTTCATTTGGATGGTATCAAAAAATATATTTTTATTATTGGGTACTATAATATAGTTATATATTGAATTACCTTTAGAGATAAGATTAATCGTCATTATTAGTATTTCATTCTTGGGTGTCATAAAGTGTTTACTAAATGTCTACTAATCATTGCGACATATTTATTCGGTGTATGTTTGCTATACCGGGTGTCCTCTTTTTGGTTGAAATAAACGGGGTATGTCAACGATTGACTATAGAAGATTTATATTATGCACGAAAAATATTTGGATGTAAAATACACTTTTAATAAATGTGTAGATATATACAGGGTGTTTCAAAAACCAATTTCAATGCGTTACAACAATATTTAAGTAATTTTTTTTTTTTTTTTTTTTTTTCTATGATCGTGCAAAAACTAACTATTTTTACAAGAAATTTGCCAAATATCCTGTATAAATGTGATATTAACTATAAATGATATAAAGAAATACTCTTGACAAATGTATTTATTTTGAATAATGTCTTGGACGTAATTTTTAGATGGCATCTGGTGTATCAAAATTATAATGCGTATCATATCATACTATACATATACAGAGTAATATATTTTACCTATATTTTTATTCTTTACATTTTTTTTTTTTTTTTTTTTTTTTTTTTTTTTTTTTTTTATTTTTAATGCTTATTTTTTATAAAAAAAAAAAACTATGAAATTTTAAAAGCAAAATTTTTTAATATTATAGATTTTGATATATTACTCTGCACATAAAACAATAGAAAAAAAAAAAAAAAAAAAAAAAAAAACATAATTTGTTTTTTTTTACGTAGAATACAGTGGGTTAGTCTGTTATTCTATGAAAAAAAATTTAATACTTCCATCTTGTTATAATCTATGTGATATCTAACAGCATAATATATTGAAAAAAAAATGCTTGTAACGCTAATAATCGATTGTCTAAGTGTAGATCACTTAAAATAACATTACTTTATTTACTTGAAATATCCAAATAATTTAAATCTCAGAAATAAGTAAACATAGAGGGTCCTGACAAATAAAATAAAACCAATCTATGTTTACTTATTTTTTTTTTTTTTTTTTTTTTTTTTTTTTTTTATTGTTAATATTTTGATTTTTTTTATTGTGGATTATATCTTTATATTTTATATTTATTGTAATGTTTATAATATGTTGTTAAATAGAAATTATAATTTTTAAGAAAAATTTTTTTTTATTTTAAAATTGATTTAAAGTATTTTTGTTATATGTTTCTAGTCATGTAAGTTTTTGATCTCTTTGCTGGTCGAAGAGGAAATTTTTTACATTATATAAACCTAAAAAATCTATACTCAATGTGAACATGTATCCATGAAAAGGTAAAATAAACATATACAAGTTGATTGTATGATTTTTTTATTTCCTTATCCAATAAAGAATATTACTACATTTTCGTTAAATTAGTTTTAGAAAAAAAATGACAGAAAATTACACTGGGGTAGAGACTTAATAAGTATATTTATATACAGAGGTAGATTTTGTAGCCTCAACTAAGATCCATCAATAATGTTAATTATTATTTTTTACTTTTACAAGACTTATATATCAATATATATGTCTAATAATACAGGGTGTTCGAAGCGAATTCAGGGAAATCAGTGGGTGATTCTTAATCGAAAAATATGAAAAAAAAGTCCTATAAACCTGGCCTGAAATTCCGTAAATTCTAAAAGTATATAGGGTGGTTAAAAATTTTATCTATATAATAGAGAAGCAGCGAGTCCACCTTGAGTATATTTGCCTTGTACAGCCTCTCAAATAGTGTCGTTATGATTCGGTGATAAACTCTAGGTCCATGTTCTTGTGAACACTGATGATACACGTCACAAAAATGCCTTTCAAAAAACTACGCATCAGACCCGTATGTATAAAAACGTTTTTCCATATATTTTAATGGTAAATCATCCCAACGATAATATAGCGGCGTATTTTCGAACCCATGTAGTATATTATATACAAGGGTTTCATTTTGCAATACTTTTAAAAAGAACACTAGTATTATTAACATAATATTTAGATGAACAATAAATACTTTTAATAATACAATAGAATAAAATACAAAGTCTTTATACAGGGTGTGCCATAAAGATCGCAACAAATGAGAAAACTTGTTTAATTACTGAGTTATTAAAAGTTTATTTTCAGCATGTCAAATATCAAAAAGATAATATCTTGAAAAAATCCTGGGTTTGCCCAAACAAAGGCAAATTATTTTATTATATTGTTAATTTATTTTTTTGTTTTTCAGTTATTATTTTTATCGTTTTTTATTTTAGGAAATTTGTTTTACAAGTAAAAAAGCCACAAACAAGCTGGTTTCCTTCCGGATTTTACGCAGTGGTGTTGATTTCCTTAGCAATGTAGTAATATCCCTTTTTCACTGGTAAAATACCCAGGATTTTATAAGAAAAAAAAATAATTTTGACATTGGAATGTGAATATTATTATGATGACAAATTATAAAAATTATTTTTACATAAGCAAAAAGGAGCATTAGGTAACAAAATATTTTCTAAATAGATTTTGATTAACGTATTTATATCCAGAAATAGGAGGGACTTTCAAAAAATATTAATTTTTTACATTTTTTCAAATATTTCCAAAAAATCGTATGATTTTCGCTAAAATTGCATAAAATAAAGGTTCATATACAAAATATACACACAAAACGTCAATTTTAAGAATACATAGAAGTTAAGAACAATAAGAAATTCCGTATAAACTTAAATAAAAAAAAATTGTTGCGAACTTTTTGACACGCCCTGTATTAACTGCGACAATAAAAACAATTTTTGAATATATACGAATATTGACAATAATATAAAAACTTGTTAACGACAACGTGTTTTACAAATACTTAAATTCTTAAAATATAGAGTTGTCTATATTTAATACACTATATATAGCATAAAACTAGCGATAAAAAAATAAGACTCTTTCAATATTCACAAATAAAAACTAAATTATATAGTTTTATCATTTAGCCAATAGCAGCAGTCTCTTAAATAGGGCTAATTCTTTGAATCAACACAATAAAAAATAAAGTATAAATAGTACTCGTACAACGTATACTATACTAAGATAGGTTTAAAATTTGACTCTAATCCTCCAATACTCTCGCGGGGTATTTTTACACCCCACACGGAATACGGGGGGTATTTTTACACCCCACGCAGAATATGCGGAGTATTTTTATACCCCGCCCAAAATTTTCAATTAAACCAAAGGGGGCGCGAGCAACAAAAAGTTAATAAATTTCGGATAAAGTCCAATTTAAATGCGATCTTGTTAGATCATATATGGCTCTCAAATGATTTGATCTGCGTTTGTTAACTTCAGACCTATATATGTATGGTAAAAAACATATTTTAGGTATCTACATGTTTTGATAAAATAAAAACAGTATCATAGTAGGCATAGAAATAACATAGCACGTGAAAATTAGATTATAATAAAAACAAGCGTAAAAAAACTATTTATATTTTTCACACTGTAAGATTTGACATTTAACAAACTAAAATATTATTTCTAAGCCTACTGCGACGTTGTTTCTATCGATCACACTGCACCGGACAAAAATTGCAATAAATACTTGTAAATTAATATGTTGAAGTTGAATAATTTAAACTCAGTCTTCAACGTATTCCGTATCGTCGTCGTTTTCTCCAAAATCGGGTTCATCCTCGTCTATGTCATTGTCTTTCAGGACAATCAGCTCGTCGCTTACTGGACAGTTGCTGCACCTAAATAAAAAAGATGAATTAGATATTAATGCTGCAATCATTACATTATCACTGCAACAACTGCTAAAAATAAAAAATAGAGGATAATGGGGTAAAAAAAGAGCAAAGAAGTGCGAAGTATTTTTTGAAATCTCTCGAAAATATGTCGAAAATTTACAGTGGACGATGGACTTCCTTACTTTCTTCAAAAACCTTAAATTTTGTTTAAGTGTAAACCTAAAGTATGTATGAGGATGTATTTCAGCAACAAAAAAATATTTGCACTTATTTAAGACTCGCCCTGTATATGGTACAGCGTGTGTATAATTACCTGCTCTCATTTATTCCGTAATTAATGCATTTATCGCCCACGCATTCGCAGCAGCCGTCGTGAAACCACCTGAAACTTTCTGCTCCCATCGATTGACAGCTGGACTTGCATTTGGTCCAGCTCATGCACTGAGCCCAAAACGCTACAGTACAGTTCACCGTGTATATGTTCGAGCTGGGAAGTACCGATTGCTCTGCGTTTTTTTGTTCTGGAAAGAAATTAATCGTTAAGTATAAAGTTCTGCGTCTTAAGTATTGCTTTTATGTATAAAAAAAACATAGCATATACAGGGTGGTCCGAACTGTATTCCGGAAACTTCGACAACATATTCTGCAGATAAAAATAAGCAAAAAGGTTGGTATTAATGTATGTCCTAAAATGCTTAGTTTCAGAGATACAGGGTGTAGAAGTTTCATTTTTATTTCGATTTTTCCAAATAATTTCTGAAATAACGTCAATATTTGGATGAAATTTGATGTCTGGGAGTTTTTTGACATGGGAAATTTGATTTTGATGTCAATATGACTCCTACTAGTAGAGGGCGCCACCTGCATGTGTTTTAACTGTTTTGAAGCGTAATAACTTTTTTTCCGTACCTGTATAAAACTACCGAGCGAAAAAATATACATCTCTGTGACTTTTTACCTAAAAAATATATCTTTGTAAAAATCGCTACGAACAACCGTTCTTAAGATATTTAGAATAGAAATAGACAATACATGTCATTATTGACGAAAAATAAACACGTTGAGTAGGTTTGAGTTTAGTTTTCTAAATATCTCGACAACCATTACCCGTAGCAATTTTTACCAAGAGATCTTTTTCACGTAGAAAACGTCGTAAATGTATATTTTTTTACTCAGTAGTTTTATACAGGTACGGACGAAAAGTTATTACTCTTCAAACTAGTTAAAAAATATGTAGGTGGCGCCCTCTACTAGTAGGAGTCATATTGACATCAAAATCAAATTTCTCATGTCAAAAAACTCCCAGACACCAATTTCATGAATTTTCATGCGAATATTCATGTTACTTCAGAAATTATTATTTGGAAAAATCGAAATAAAAATGAAACTTAGTACTGAGAGAATTGTCAGCTCAGAAACTTCTAACAGCCTCAAAGGGAAAATGACATACCAAAAATGTACAACTTTGAGAAATACACCTCACTGTATTGCGAAACACCTCAGCAGGTAAAATTCCTTTTGTACCATATACTCTGGTACGACTGATATCGGAAATAGAGAACTAACGTCTGTAAAACAGTCTTAGATACTGGCTTTTGTGAAAGCCCTATGAGTGTATCATAAGTTATAACGGAAACTGGACCTATTTGGGGACACTATAGGCCACCCTGTATATTTTTTATTGACTTACGGATCATAAATTTGATTTCCTTCTTGTTGTTGTAGTGTGTGATATCAATGTCAATGGGAAAAGTGGTGCTGTTCCATCTTTTGAAGTTGTCAGGGGCTTCTGTCAAGGCATTGAACAATCCTGGTAAGGATTCTTGGAAGTCTTCTACATGGGATTTCTTGCTGAGGGGACTGCTGGTTGCGTTGGGCTTCGGACACATGTCTGAAAGTAAAAAAAATCATTATAATGATGGCTTTACTTAAAAAAAATAGTAGGTATTTTAAATTTCAATCTGGAGTACAATGGCTGTGTGCATAACGACAATTTGACTCTAAATACCAAGTAGGTTGGGACTGTAATAGGCCTAAACATTTTTTTGACAACCCGGTATATAGGTATAATTACGTAGTATTTAGAGATGAAAAATTGAGATGGAACTTGCTAATTTAAGATAATTTAGCGCTCCCCCACATAACAGTTCTGTTGTATAACTAAAAAAAGTGCTAAGTAAACTATGCTTTCCCTAATAATTGTAACCTTAAAGTGCTACAAAGCTATTTGTTTACATTAAACCATTAGAACTTGATTTGGAACATTATTAATGTATTGTTAATACAAAAAAGTGGGTTCCATACAAATTTTTAAGTACATATATTATAAATAAAGTTAAAAATAATTAAAAATCTGTTTAAGCTTGCGCAAATGAAGCCCTTTCTTACTCCTGCCGTTCTTTGCATAAAGACTCTGTTTTTTTATGATTAAATTAAAAATTAGCGGCTTTCAGATTTTCCTCTTCTGTACGAATTAGTAAAAGTGAAAAAAATCTACAAGGAGATTTGATCACCTAGAGAGCTGCAACAACAGACTTATGTATTCTAAAAAAAATTTCTAACTTGAGGTAAGACTTAAGATTTATTAAGTCTTGAGTTTAATCAAAATGATTTAAATCTTAGTATTATTAGTATGAAAAAATGATTTAAATTTTAGTATTATATGTGACATCATTAGAGTAGATGAGTGTCCATTTTCATTTTATATTATTACTCAAAATCTCTATTGTATTTCATGGTAGTTATCTATAAAAGGTAGAGGAAATTATGACATCTTAATTCCCGTTAATAATGTTAACGATACAAGCTTATAATATCAATTCAGTAAGAAATAAAATATTGTAACACAGATAACATAGTTAATTTATAGTCTTTTACATACGGAAAACCCTGTTTGCAATCACATATTTTACCTAATAATTACAAGAAAATAGATAATTTTGATTTGAATCACACATTATTTGCACATCTGCCAGATGCGCGCACATATTTTAAATTCCTCGGGCGTTTTTGCGAATCGAAAATCGATGATTTTTCATAGAAAATGTCTGTGGGAGTAAAGACACTAATTTAAATAAAATGTTATTTGTTTAAAATAATGGTATTCAGCCAGGTGTTCGTTCGTGTAGAAAGATAGACTTTGAAAAAATAAATTCACACAATTTAAATGAATTCCATATTTTATTTATAATAATACTGCTATGCTATGCTATGTGTGTAACGGTCTAGTCTGGGTTCTATTTAAAAAACTCTAGTCAAAAATGCTCTTATACAACGATGGTTCTTTCTGCATAGGTTATATCAAAAACATCATTACAGTGTTAGAATGAGTGAATTTCTTGAGTTATAACTCATCATACAGTCTCAGGGCTTTCACAAAAGCCAGTATCTGAGACGGTATTACAGAAGTTAGATCTCCAGTTCCGATATCAGTCGTACCAAAGTTTATAACACGAATGGGTGTCGTCTCGGCGCACTTCGTCATTAGGTGTTCTGGTGTTTCCCCATTTTCCCCACAGAATCTGCATTCGCCATTGTTTCTTAGCTTCAAACTACTGAGGTGTTCATGGAGGAGACAGTGTCCTGGTAAAATCCTCGTGACAATCCGAAGATTATTAATTCTTACTTAAATCAAGGAAAATCTTTGATTTTTCTCGGTTGTAAGTTCTGAGAAATTCTTCACCTCTTCTTCACACTTCTTTTTAGTGACACGCATCTTCAAAGATGAAAGATTTTATAATTCAAATATTTGTCTCTCGTAAAACAGCCAGAGTTGGTTATAGTAGACAGCAAACTGCAGGAGAGGGGATTGGGCATTAGATACAGATATAGGGAAATTGGAACAACTTTCGTTGCACGTCATCAATAACACCATGCGTCGTCTTATGGAGTTTGCTTGTGGTCGTATTATGATGTCCAACGCTAATGAGGCAGTTTCTTCAAAAATTATAAAATCTTTCAAAATCTAAACCGCTCTCATTGAAAAAATTCCGAAAAGTATTTAAAACGTTCATTTTCGAAGTAATTATTGCTATCTTGTGAGTTTAATTTAAGTTTTATTTACTCAAACCCGTGATAATTGTGAAAAAGTGACATTAAAAACTAAAAAACTGTGTTGTGAACTGTAAACTGCAAAAACCATCGTGGATCGTGGCATAACGTCGGTTTCCAATGTTTCATAGGTATTTCATATACATGTCCTGAGATAAAATAAAGTTTCCTGTATGCAACATACTGTATTTTATTTATAAAATTAAAAGAAAATAATAATAAATTCGAATAAATAATATTTGGCGACATAATTCCGGAAAAAGCCGAACCGATCCGAAATTATCAAAAGCTTTGGGTCGCGACCGTTGCAAGAATAGCGCCAAATAGTGTTTACATTGTTCTCATGGGCACTTTCCAATCTAAACTTATTTAATGTTTGTGTGTTGTAGAAAACTTACTATCCAGATTTTTTTTTCTTTGTGTTTAGGGTTGAATTACTAAATAAACCACATGGTTTTATGCAATTTAAATCAGTGTATTGTTTGTTTTGGTACTCTAAATTCGTTATTAGATTCCTTTAAGTAATGATCTTGTTATAGAGTTTATAAATTTGATACTGTTCGGTGCAGATGCCGACGTTGATCGTTAGCATCGTAAAAGCGGAGAGTGTTTGGCCTATTCCTGGAAAAAATCTGGAGAAGTTTGGGAAACAAATACGAAGAACATCAATATTTATCGATGGGAATGGCAAACGTATTTCTTGCAAAAATAAATAGAAGATCTTTCAAAATTTGAGGGTTTTTATCAACACAGACAGACCTTTTTCTCTAAATTTCCAGAATAAATTACAATGATTTTAAAATTATCGTTTTTTTAAGAGAAAAATCTGAAAGCCAATCACAAAAAAACAGGGTCCTTATGAAAGGAACGGCGCGCGGCGGCGCACAGTAGGGTATTTGACACAGATAGTTGATCGAAATTTTTTTATGTAGACCTTGTATAAATTATTGCTATTTTCAATTAAAGAGGAAATAATATGAACAAAATAAAGGATAATTCGTCGATTCTAAAAAAAGATAGAAAAATCACTGTTCCAGTGTTTCCACGGTCAATGCCACTAATGCCAGTAGTAATATCGCAACTAATACTACTAATGCTATGACTGATCCGCGAGCAATGCCCATACCACTAAAGTCGCTACTAATGCCAAATTGTGCTATACTGCTAATGGCACTAATGCGATCGCTTTGTACACAACATGCCATCGCGGTTTACACCTCGCATTAGTATATCACTGATTGGCAAATTAGAGGAAACCAAGAATGTTTTTCTCATTTTATCAGCAAAGTCATAAAAAGTCGCAGTATTTTATTTTACTGTATGAAAGCCCAATGTTTACTAAGTAAAACGTATATAGACAATATGCTGAATTCTTCGAAATGCGCAACTAAATCTCTAAGTATAATAAAAATGTCACAAATTTAATCAAATTTTCTGAACGCCTAACTTTTAGTTGCAAAAAAAATCGTTAGTATAGAGAACATCAAAATAAATAATACGTTTTTGTAGAATACATACCTGCAGCTTGCTGAGCCATTTTCAATCAAAACAATAATATAAACGTAAAAAGAGCACAAGAACAACAACAATTTATAATTTTAAACATAAAATTAAGCCATTTGCCTCTTATCTGTGAGAAGTACCAACTTTGACGTTTCGTTGAAACAAATGAATGCAACTAAACACACCCATAGCAACGCCATTCGTGGCAGAGATGATTTAACTTATCATTTATCTTTTTTTGGGAAATCTTAAACACATTTGCTTTTTCGAATTTCGATCACCTTTTTCATGCTAATACCCCACCGTGCGGCGGCGCTACGAATTTTGAATTGAGTTAACTGTGTCATGTAGGGTATCGTATGAAACAGCTTCATTGACACAAGTTTAAACAGATTTTTAAAGTTTAGGGTTTAATGTAAATTGAAAATATACAATATTTTTCTGTCCCAGCCACTAAAGGTATTTTTCATATTCCTTTTGGTAAATTGATTCACCTTTAGGTGGAAGCAATGCTTGAATAAAAAAATGCCTTATGTTGGATTAACAGATGAACAGAAAGGAAGAACTATTGCTCTCAAGGAACAAGGAATGCCCCAAAGAGACGTAGTAGAGATAGATGCGTTACCCAGGGTGTTGTATCGAAAACGTATGCAAGGTACTTGGGACTAGAAACTTTCAAGAACAGGCCCAGACAAAGTCGTCAAAGAGTCACAACTGAACGACAAGACCTTTGTGTGCCAAATTGCTAGAATAAATCCCAATGTTTCTCATTCACAGCTACAAAGACAACTTCTGGTAGCTACAGTACGTCTGCTGGATCTGTGACTATGAAAGGAATGCGGACAAAAAACATTTAAATAAACAACAATATATTTTATACGTCGACCTGACGAGTACGTCACCGCAAATCGCTCCGCCCTCTCATTTTATTGGCTACTTGCAAATTTGTCGAATTTTTATTGATGGGACGCGTCGTCTTATTTTTTACGAAAAACATCGAAAGAATATCGTTTCCCCTCTCACGGATACCCCGTAGCTACAGAGCGGACAGACGTACTGTACAGGTGTAAACGTTTCAGTTGAAACCATAAGAAAAAGGCTTCGCGATCGAGGATTGTGCAGTAGGAGGGAGTTACGGGTCCCACAGTTATCTGGGCAAAATAAAATTGACCAGCTAAATTGGTGCCTTCAACATTAAAACTGAACATTTGAGAACTGGCAAAAAGTTCTTTTTTCGGATGAGACCAGAATTGGCTTAAGATCAGATGATTCGGGTTCCCAGAGCTCCAGGAAGACGAGCGAGACTCCAGGTAACCTGTACCAAAATATAAAAGAGGAACTGTAATGTTCTGGGCAGGTATTATGCTGGGAGCAATAACTCCGTTGTTATCACTTCAACAAACTTTAACGGGTCGGAGGTATGTTGATTTAGTCCTAGAACCAATCGTTAGGCTTTGAAGAGCTGTTAAGGAAAATTTTAACTTCATGCACGATAATGCACCTCCCCATACCAGCAGAGTGGTTAGAGAAAGTCTTAAAACGGAAGGTGTCATAGTTTTGGACTGGCCTGCATGTTCACCAGATCTAAACCGTATCGAACACTTTTGGGACCAGCTCAAAAGAAGGGTTAGAGAGGTTAAACAATCTAGGAAATCTCGCACCAAGATCTCGCACAGCTTATTGATGCAGCATTAGCAGAATAGGAAAACATACCCCAAGACAACGTTGATAATTTAATAAGAAGCATGCTAGCGCGGATAGAAGTTTGCGTTAGGGCTAGATGTGGCAACAGGGATTATTAAATTTATCATTTTTTTTTGTTTTTGCTTTTTGACGATTAAGAATTAAAATATGAATTAAAAGTCTTTGGTAAGGACTGATTTTTATTCTTAAACACAAAATTTTCATGCGTTTCAAAAACTATGAAAAATAATAGATGATTCCATATAAGTTTGGTTGTGTGTATTGTAGTATATTTTCAAAAGAAAATACACCGATATTAAGTATTATTTTAGAAGATGAAAGAGTTCTAATAATTTTAAAAATTCAAATAGTAGTTTTTATTTTATGTACAATTTTTGGTCAGCAAAATCAAATGACCGTAGTTCAAAAGACACAAGAAAAAGCAGTAAGGATGTGTGAGTAAAAAGTACCGATACTTTAATATAGGCCACTCAGTATTTTGTATCTCGGTAATATAAAATAACTATCCTACAATAGAGTTTCAATCTTTTAACAGCTTTATAGTCATATTCGTTCGAATCCCTTTTTTTTAAATTAATCTAAATAAATCGGTACCTACCTACACATGAGCAACACTCAGTATACAGATATCCCAAACAATTCAGGCAGTCTTTGCAACAGGAGCAATTGTCAAAATTAAAATCGCAATTGCACGATTCGGTCAGCAAGCATTTGCTGACTACACTGCCACATACTGCCTCGTTGCAGGGTAGTACAGACTGTATGAGATATATCGTCGAAAGCAACAGGGGTATGATATAATTCATGGTGTATCTGAAAAAAGAAAAAACATGCTTTAATATAATAGATAAAATGCTTAAATCTAATAATAGTTATTTTTTATACAAAACGATAAAATGGTATTTTATCGTCGACCGGAAAGGATTAATTTCGGGGGACGATAATGCAATTTTATCGTCGTGTATAAAACAATATTTTTTCCATAGCGAGTTACGTTTTAAAAAATATTCAGAAATTATTATTTCAAGGAATTTATTACGAGTAGAAAAATATTGTGCTGGGTTGGCGTTGATTTCTATGTAATTTGACAAATAAATAAACTGTCTCTGTCTCTTTAGTTGTCAGTTTTGAGTCAATATTTTTTAATTCTCTTTCGTGTCGATTGTTGATTGAATTGGAGCCAGAAATGGCTCAAAACGAAATAATTAAATTACCAACAGATATTCAGGCAGAGGCGACAAACGCCATATCCAAACTACTTCCATTTAAGTCCCGAATAACTTATGAAAAGGAATACAAAAATTTTCAAAATGGAAGTAATTAAAAACGTGCGATAGGAAATAAAGTTCTTAACCTATCCTCGCTGTTAAAGTATCATTTAATCTACCCTTGCGGTTAAAGTACTATTTTATCTACTATTTTTGGTAGATATAAGGCAATTTTAACAGTTGCTATGGAAAAAATAGTTTTTCGATTCTTCTTCTTCTTCCTTCTTAATACTAGGCGAATCGCCTGTTTGGTTTCGTCGTCTCTACTGGTTAGACTGACAAGTTGTCGCTCGTTTTCGTAGACGTCCTAAGCTTCTGCGGCCTAGCGGTGATTTGTCGCGTGCAACTCTCACTGTCCTTCTGTTGTCCATTCTGCTGATATGCATGCTCGTTCTATTCTTCCTTTCTGCTTAGTACCCACTCATTTATATTTTCCACCTTGCATGTCCTTCTTATGCTTTCATTTCTCGTCCTGTCCAGAAGCGTCTTTCCAGCTATTCTGCGTAGTACTCTCATTTCAGTTGTCTCTAGTAATTGTTTAGTTTTTGCTGTATCAGGTCGAGTTTCTGCAGTGTATGTCATTATTGTTTGTACCGTTGCCTTGTAAATCCTCGCTTTAGTTTCCACCTCAATGTTTTTATTTCGCCATATTGTACCATTCAGGCATCCTGCTATTCTGGTTGCCTTCGTTGTCCGTTCTCGCACCTCCGCTTCTACATCACCATATCCTGAGATTTCTATGCCTAGATACTTAAACTTCATCTCTTGCTGGATAACATTGCCCTCGACTTCCAGTTTGCATCTTAGTGATACTTTTGATGTCGTCCTGCATTTAGTTTTCTGGGTCGATATTATCATATTAAGTGATTTGGCAGTGCAATTAAATCGATGTAATAAGCGCTGTAGATCGTTCTCATTTTCAGCTACCAATACGGCGTCGTCGGCATAGCTAGAATAGTAATTTCCTGGTCGCCCATACTGTATCCCTTCAGTAAACGTACATTTCCTATTATTTCGTCCATAATGATGTTGAAAAGAAGAGGGCTCAGGGAGTCACCTTGTCGGATACCACAGCCTACATTTATTGGTTCGGTCAGGACCCCGTTAATTTTAGCTTGAATTTGGTTCGCTTCATATATGTTTTGTATGGTTTTAACGAGGTTGTGTGGGATTTGCCTATTGTAAAGAAGGTGTACAACGTCTCTTAGCTGCACACGGTCGAACGCTTTTTCTAAATCAATAAAACACATATACGCTGGTTTGTTATATTCGATTGATTTTTCTGTTATCTGTCTTATGACAAAAACCGCGTCTGTGCATGATCTGCCCGATCTGAAACCTTGCTGTTCATCTGCTAAGCATGTTAAGTCGTTTATTTTGGTTGTTATCACTTTTGTCGTAAGTTTTAGTGTGGTGCTTAGAAGATTTATGCCTCTATAGTTTGAGGGCAGCTTCTTATCTCCTCTTTTAAACATCAAGATAGTGGTGCTGGTTCGCCATTCATCGGGTATCCTGTGTTGGTAAAGAATTTTTTGAATCAGGGATGTTAGCTGCTGTATGAGACTTTGGCCGCCATATTTAAGTAATTCGTTTGGGATATCATCTTGCCCTGGGCTCTTCCTATTCTTTAGCTTTCGAAGGGATGTAATTATATCGGCTGCCTCAATCTGTACGTTGTCGTTGGTCATTATTTCGGGTGTATTTAGTTCAACCTCTATTTCTATTCTGATTTTGAGTTTTTCGATTGTATGATTAATTTATTATACCAAAAAAGATTTTTCTAACACATAAATACAATATGATCGAAAAAAAAACGGTGTCAGCGATGGTTATGAAATTTTTGGCTTTTAATAAAATTATAAATTAAAATCAAGAAGAACTAAAAAAGAATAAAAAAAATCGTATTTTTATAACACGTAAATTGACCGAAAAATGCGCAATTACAATGAGCCCAGCATGCAAAATCGTTTATTGACTTCGAAAATAATCAAATCACGAATTTTGTGGACCTATTTTTATGCCCGTTTAATAATAGTTTTAAAATGCGTTCCACACAACGCTAATTCGGAAAATCCCATAAAAAATATAAGGAAAACTTATTGTATTCCTTTCAAATAATATTTAAAGTTCATCCATAGTCATGTATAAAATATAAACTATAGTTTGTCTAACGGGAGGTTACATGACAGTGACAGCTCTGTCTGTCATTTTAATTCGAACTTTAACCATACTATACATTGACTTGTTTTGACGCAACATATACAAGCAAAATGTAAACGTTTCATATCTTTATTTCATTTTTAAAAGGAAAAACAAACGTTTCGGCCAAGCATTACAGCCTTCATCAGTGTAGTGTCTATAACAAAATACCAATTTCACATTAAGTTATCACAAAAATCTATGTTAATTTTTTTTTGGAGAGAGAAACAAACTTGTTTCTATATGATACTTAATTTGAAATTGGTATTTTGTTATAGACACTACACTGATGAAGGCTGTAATGTTTGGCCGAAACGTTTGTTTTTCCTTTTAAAAATGAAATAAAGATATGAAAAACCTAATGAAACCTTAATTAGAGTTTTCCCGAACCTAAATTCCAAGAAAATAAAAAATCAGAATTTTTAAAAACAAGGTTCAAGAATAATAAATTTTCCAAGTAAACAAATAAATATAGTAATAAATAAAAATGTTCTAAATCTTCAAATAAAAAAGTGTAGGGTAAAAATTAGGGTATATATTTATAACTTTATGAATATGTTTATACAGAACTGCCATAAAAATATACCAGTTGAAGGCGTTAATTCTTCAGATTTTGCTTCAAAGATTCATTATACTTAGACCATTAAAAATAAATTACTTAATCTCGATATAAATTCCAGTAATACAGCATTCAGGAATTAGGCCAGCCTACTCTTGTAAACTATTATATCTCGATACCTAGGTTTATATAGAATTACAGGTATATAGTTACCCCCAATATTTCCATTCTGTATAGTTTATTTTTATTAAGATAGATATACACCTGCGAAAATTGTACCTCAGCTTTTATTATAGCACTATTCAAAAAGGGTTTCTTGAAAATTAATTTAATATGCTAACTGTATTTACAAATAACGCTTCAAAAAGGTACCTAAGAAAAATCTATTGAATGACACTAATAGAATTGCAAAATACTTTAAAAATCTTTCATTTAAAAACAAAAAACAAGTTTTAGTTGTCAGAAAGACTTGTCACGTTTCTGAAATCTCTCAGATATGTTTAAGATACTTGTTACCTCACTGATCACAAGTTCAATGCCAAAATCAAAAGTTCCAAGACCCTTGAGCAACAATAAACAAGTTTTAATTGTCATAAAGACTTTTCAGGCTTCTAAAAATTCTCAGATGTATTTAATAAACTTTCTTAACTGACTGATTACAAGTCTAATTTCAAAATTAAGAGATTTACGATATATGGGCAACAAAAATCAATTTTTGTTGTCAAAAAGATTTGTCAAGCTTCTGAAATCTCTCAGTAATGTTTAAGAAACATGATTAACTGACTGATCAATGCCAAAATCAAAAGCTCTGAGACACTTAAGCAACAATAAACAATTTTAAATTGTCATAAAGACTTTTGTCAGCTTCTAAAAATTCTCACATATATTTAATAAGCTTTCTTAACTGACTGATTACAAGTTTAATTTCAAAATTAAGAGATTTACGATATATGGGCAACAAAAATCAAGTTTTAGCGTCAGAAAGATTTGTCAAGCTTCTGAAATTTGTCAGTAATGTTTAAGAAACATGATTAACTGACTGAGCAATGCCAAAATCAAAAGCTCTGAGACACTTGAGCAACAATAAACAATTTTAAATTGTCATAAAGATTTTTGTCAGCTTCTAAAAATTATAGCTTATTAAATATATATTCTAACATATATTTAATAAGCTTTCTTAACTGACTGATTACAAGTTTAATTTCAAAATTAAGAGATTTATGACAAAAAAAACAAGTTTTAGTTGTCAGAAAAATTTGTCAAGCTTTTGAAATCTCTCAGTAATGTTTAAGAAACATGATTAACTGACTGAATACAAGTTCAATGCCAAAATCAAAAGCTTTAAGACACTTGAGCGGCAATTAACAAGTTTCAATTTTCATAAAGACTTGTCAGGCTTCTAAAAATTCTCTGATATATTTAATAAACTTTCTTAACTAACTAATTACAAGTTTAATTTCAAAATTAAGAGATTTGCGATATTTGGACAACAAAAAACAAGTTTTAGTTGTCAGAAAGACTTGTCACGCTTCTGTAATCTCTCAATTTTTTTTGAAACTTGATGAACTAATTGATTACAAGTTCAATGACAAAATCAAAAGCTTTAAGACACTTGAGCAGCAATAAACAAGTTTTAATTGTCATAAAAACTTGTCAAGCTTCTAAAAATTCTCAGATATATTTAATAAACTTTCTTAAAAGACTGACTACAAGTTTAATTTCAAAATTAAGAGATTTACGATATTGGGACAACAAAAAATAAGTTTTAATTGTCATAAAGATTTGTCAAGCATCTGAAATCTCTCAGTAATGTTTCAGTAACATGATTAACTGACTGATTACAAGTTCAATGCCAAAATCAAAAGCTTTAAGACACTTGAGCAGCAATAAACAAGTTTTAATTGTCATAAAGACTTGTCAAGCTTCTAAAAATTCTCAGATATATTTAATAAACTTTCTTAAAAGACTGACTACAAGTTTAATTTCAAAATTAAGAGATTTACGATATTGGGACAACAAAAAATAAGTTTTAATTGTCATAAAGGTTTGTCAAGCATCTGAAATCTCTCAGTAATGTTTAAGTAACATGATTAACTGACTGATTACAAGTTCAATGTCAAAATCAAAAGCTTTAAGACACTTGAGCAGCAATAAACAAGTTTTAATTGTCACAAAGACTTGTCAAGCTTCTAAAAATTCTCAGATATATTTAATAAACTTTCTTAAAAGACTGACTACATGTTTAATTTCAAAATTAAGAGATTTACGATATTGGGATAACAAAAAATAAGTTTTAATTGTCATAAAGATTTGTCAAGCATCTGAAATCTCTCAGTAATGTTTAAGTAACATAATTAACCGACTGATTACAAGTTCAATGCCAAAATCAAAAGCTTTAAGACACTTGAGCAGCAATAAACAAGTTTTAATTGTCATAAAGACTTGTCAAGCTTCTAAAAATTCTCAGATATATTTAATAAACTTTCTTAAAAGACTGACTACAAGTTTAATTTCAAAATTAAGAGATTTACGATATTGGGACAACAAAAAATAAGTTTTAATTGTCATAAAGATTTGTCAAGCATCTGAAATCTCTCAGTAATGTTTAAGTAACATGATTAACTGACTGATTACAAGTTCAAAGCCAAAATCAAAAGCTTTAAGACACTTGAGCAGCAATAAACAAGTTTTAATTGTCATAAAGACTTGTCAAGCTTCTAAAAATTCTCAGATATATTTAATAAACCTTCTTAACTGACTGATTACAAGTTTAATTTCAAAATTAAATTCTCTATGTTATTTGGACAACAAAAAACAAGTTTTAGATATTCTAAAGACTTGTCAAGCTTCTGAAAATTATCAGGCATGTTTAATTAACTTTGTAAAACAACAATTAAAAGACTAAAGGCGTTTTGGAAGTATTTTAAGCATTCAATCAACATTTTCGTGCTATATTTATATTTAACCAGTCAATTAGGCTAGGAATTTAATTAAATAACCAAAATGACGTCGACTGCTTCCTCTCGCACCACGAGAATACCGTCTTATTATCATAATGAAACCATCACTAAGCTTCATATTTACATCAGTACCATACACCTGCTCATTTACAGGATATCCCAGTGCTATTGTACCTGTATTTTTTTCAAAATCTTACCTTTTTTCTTAACTATTTTGCCTCCTTAAGGAATAATATCTTTCAGCAAATTGAAAGCACAAAGTTCCTTGAGGTACACAGACTGCTGGGAACCACTTTTACGGAAGTACTATTAAAATCGGAGGAAAAAATGGCAAGTGCGATGATAGACGAGGGAAAACAGTGGCACGCGATCACGCAACGAGAGTACCAAGGTACTTCCAACACGACTTATGAGCAAAACTAGTTTGTCCAGCTAGACAGAGTGTTGGGGATAAGCGGGTCTCTCCCGCCTGGAGACAAAGATAGGAGATCGCGAAGGTAGTACCTGAGGTGAGGAAGATAGAGAGAGAGGTGCTTAACGAGACCAGAGACGTGTCTTAGCAGGGGGACGCTGGAGAAAAATTATAAGTTAAAAATTCTTGGTAGGTACCAAAAAAAATAAGGAAATTATCTATATACTTTGTTCTAGTGGGCCGACTTTGATGGATTTTTAAGAAGAGAATTTTTAACAATGATAAATTATTACTATACAGTATGTCTCCGGGTTGTCTTTACAATAGGAAAAACTTTTTTATTATTGGCATTTTGAGAAAAATGCATTCTTCATAAAAATTTTTACTTGTTCTAGAATGATGATGTTCTAAACTTTATTATCTGACTGATTACAAGTTCAATGCCAAAATCAAAAGCTCTAAGACACTTGAGCAACAATAAACAAGTGTTAATTTTTATAGAGACTTATCAAGCTTCTAAAAACTCTCAGATATATTAAATACGCTTTCTTAACTGACTGATTACAAGTTTAATTTCAAAATTAAGAGATTTACGATATTTGGATAACAAAAAACCAGTTTTAGTTGTCAAAAAGACTTGTGAAGCATCTGAAATCACTCAGTAATGTTTAAGAAACTTGATTAACTGATTGATTACAAGTTCAATGCCAAAATCAAAAGCTTTAAGACACTTGAGCAGCAATAAACAAGTGCTAATTGTCATAGAGACTTATCAAGCTTCTAAAAATTCTCACATATATTTAATAAACTTTCCTAACTGACTGATTACAAGTTTAATTTCAAAATTAAGAGATTTACGATATTTGGACAACAAAAAACCAGTTTTAGTTGTCAAAAAGACTTGTGAAGCATCTGAAATCACTCAGTAATGTTTAAGAAACTTGATTAACTGATTGATTACAAGTTCAATGCCAAAATCAAAAGCTCTAAGACTCTTGAGCAACAATAAAAAAGTGTTAATTGTCATAGAGACTTATCAAGCTTCTAAAAATTCTCACATATATTTAATAAACTTTCCTAACTGACTGATTACAAGTTTAATTTCAAAATTAAGAGATTTACGATATTTGGACAACAAAAAAACAGTTTTAGTTGTCAAAAGGACTTGTCAAGCTTCTGAAATCACTCAGTAATGTTTAAGAAACTTGATTAACTGATTGATTACAAGTTCAATGTCAAAATCATAAGCTTTAAGACACTTGAGCAATAATAAACAAGTTTTAATTGTCATAGAGACTTGTCAAGCTTCTAAAAATTCTAAACAAGCAAAAATTTTTATGAAGAATTCATTTTTCTTAAAATCTCAATAATAAAAAAGTTTTTACTCTTGTAAAGACAATCCGCGGACGTACTGTATATATGCCAACTAAATATACATAAAATCTAGCTAAATTTCGACAAGACAGCTCGCTAAAACAAAAGGAGGGAAAAAATTCACAGTCACCTAGATTCTCTTGTCAATATTTAAAATTTTTCGGTAAAATATGACACAAATTATAAAAAAATAAAAACAAAACTTATTTTTGATATTGCACACGCAAAAATAAAAAAATCGTAATTTTTAAATTATTCTTAGTAGGCGCTGTGTGTTAACTTACTAAATTGCGGTACTACCAGCCGCCGCTGGGTCTAGAGAGTAAAATGCAAATGTTTATTTCCGAAAATCGTATTTATTAGGGATCCTTATTCTCAGAAAAATACTGAAAATAATTTTTGATTGTACCTGTCACATTTTATAGAATATCTCGTCCCATAAGAAGTATTTACCTCCGCTACTGCATGAGATGGTGGTACCTGCCAGGTGACTTCAATATTACTCAGTAAATATGCTTTATTGTGTACAATAATTATGCTATTCTGGAGTTGTAACGTTAACAATAGAACTACTACCCGCCATCGGCCAGTGAACATTTATTATTATTATTAGTGTCTTTTTAGTGCTTTTGGGATTTTCCATTCTTTTATTTAATAAAATATATATTGCCCTTTGGGTATACTACCTTCAAACACATATTTTTGAAAGAAAAATGGCGAATATTTATAATAATAAGTATAAATTTTAATTGCTACAGGGTATGATCCCCTGCTGATCTTGAAAATCTTAATTTTAATGTGAAATAGGTTGCTTTGGTTTAAACCTTTTTTGTTCTGATTCTGTTTTTTTTTTCTCAATTTTAGTACGAATTTGATTCCTTTGGTTTCAACCTTTTCATTTGTCATTCTCATTGTGCTGAGATATATCTCACTGCAACAAGAGAGGACCTCCTTTGATTAAAATCAACAAAGATGATCATTTCTCTAAATTTGATTTGATGATCATTTCTCTAAATTGAAATTTGAAACAAAGATGATCTTTCTTCTAAATTTTTAGTTTATTGTCTAAAAAAACTAACAGGCCATTGTAAACCATTACTATTCACAATGAACCTTGCCCCAAAGACCACATTTAAATTACATGGGAATTTGCCACTCTTTGCAAATATTTTTTTTTCTCGCGATCTTGTTCTCTCGCAGCCATGATAATCGCACATTCTTCTACAGAATTGAACGCTCTGCAAAAAAGATCTCTTACCATTTTTCGATTAACTTACTCCTCCAAAAGTTACTCACGGTTAAAGTTAACCACGCGGTAAATTCCTAAATTTTTCAACTTTTTTGACAAAATTATGATTATTTTTGAAAAATTTAATCTATTATTTGAAAAAAAAGCTATTTTAACACAATTGAATGCATGACAGGTAGTTAATTCTAATATTTATTATAGTATCAGTTAGAAAATGGTTGAAGTTTTAAAAGTGAATAATGACGAAGAGTGGTTTATAAACAAAAAAAGTATTCATAAATTCAAATTCGTTACAATTTTTTACACGGTTTAATATTGATACACGTTTTCTGCAGTTAGACAGTACGGTATGGTTAAAGGATGCTGGATATATGTGAGGCTTAGAAATTGTGAAAAATTTGAGAGTATGTAGTTAATGATACTGCAGAAAGAGCTGTTAAATTGTCAGAAGAAGAAATATCAAAATCCAACTAAAGAATGTTTATTAAAATAAATCGGTTATATTTAAATGGTTTAAACTTCATTATACTTGAAGATTTCTTAATTTCCAAACCTTAACACCATCAGAATTGTATATTTTTACAGCAATAGATTAAATTTTTCAAAAATAATCATAATTTTTTCAAAAAAGTTGAAGAATTTAGGAATTTACCGAGTGGTTAAATTTAACCGTGAATAACTTTTGAAGGAGTGGGTTTATCGAAAAATTGTAAGAGATCTTTTTTGTAGAGCGTTTAATTCTGTATAAGAATATGTAATCATCATGGCTGTGAAAGAACAAGATCAAGAGAAAAAAAATATTTTCAAAAAGTGGCAAATTCCCATGTTGAACAGGAAGTGAGTCGTCTTTGGGGCAAGATTTATTGTGAATATTAATGGTTTTAGAATTAGAGAATTTCTTCCCCTAGGAGATGCAAGACCTTGTCGTTGGTGGGGAAGCTCCTGGTCAGGTGCTGGGGGGAATCCCCTCTAGCACTTAGCTTGGTCTAAGAAGCATCTCCCTCATCGTCTTGTCCCTGACTGTAGTGTCGTGGCCAGGGAATTGCACCAAGACATATAACGATACCGGGCGGGGCTACGGACAGCCTCAACCTTGGGGCACCCCATTGTATTTTACCCCTACTTCTACATGCGGGGCTCTGTAGAAGTGGACCGACTGTCCCTAGCGACTCATAGGAACACTATGAGATCTGATAATAATAGTAATAAAAACATCACCGGTGAAGCTGTGGGGAAACTCCCTAGCGACACTGGGAACAGTAACAATGAAAGTTCCAAGGGGCCAAACCCAAAGAGAACTACAGGAGAGGTGGCTGACACTTGCGTGAGACCATCCTCCGCAAGTGGCATACAAGCTACCACCTCCTCCAAGGGTCAGGGAGCCTACCTCCTACCTCTAAACCCAACAGGCGACACAAGCTACCGTTTCGTCTACCCGGCCTGGGTCGTAGCTCCTCGACTGTGAGGGACACGGGTCTCCGTAGGAAGTCCTGGGACTGTATGATGAGTTATAACTCAAGAAAGGGGGACACAATAGATCTCTAAGGTCGCAGAGATTAACCCCCCTCCCACTTATTCTAATTCTAATGGTTTACAATGATCTGTTATTTTTTTAGACAATAAACTAAAAATTTAGAGATCAACTTGATAAATAACGAACACCCTACTGCTAACGTTTAACAGAAATTCTGTTGTACGACTCTGATTATAACATTAAATCTGAAACAGAAATTCTCAACTATTGTTTTACCTATCTTTCTGGGATTTGTCTACCTGTCTGGGTCTACGGAAAAAAGCAATTCCAGTTCATTGAGCGCCGCTCTAAAGAAACGCTCCATGGTCGCGGGGGTCTGATTACTCACTTCCTGTGCTTGTTAAGGCCCTTAAAACCTAAGAATGCCGGTGAACATTAGAAAGCCAAGCCAAAAGGAGAGGTTTTGTGGTGATTTATGAAATTTTTAGCGCCACTCGAGCTAACAAAGGATAAGAATTCCACCCTGTGGAGTTAAAAGATTCTCTCAGCTTTATGAGAAAAAAAATTAGCATTGGTGTAGTTTAAACAGGAAAAGGTAAAATTAATGATGCATGGTTACATGCAGATTTACTATTTTTGAGTGTAGCATTTTAACGTTTTATACAGGGCGTTTCAAAAAACATGTGCCATCTCTCGTAGGGAGATTCTTCACGTAAAATAAGATTTATTTTTTATATTGTGCTTTGTTTCGTAGCTACAGGGTGTTAAACTCTTAATAATCTTTGGATTTATTATAATTTTCAATCCAAGTACTTTTAGTGATTCGAATGAAATTTTGAGGGTAAAAGTTACTATAAGTGCTACATATTTTAATGCTAAAAAAGTGTCGATAAATTCATCAGGGACGTGCATATATGGGTTATCACTGGAATATTTTTCAAAAAAAAACATGTGCGCCACTGGCTTTTATTCTTTCAATATCAAAATCATGTAGGCCGTTTAATTCCAATTAAAAATTATCTCTTGATATACTGTCAAATTCGGCCTCCTTGATGAGATAAACGCAATTTTATTAATCACAATTAATAAAATTAAAATAAAAATAAAGTTAATAAATTAAATATTTTACCTAATAGCTATTAACGGAAGATTTTTCTCTCTAAACTTGTTTGTAATTAATAACAACAAATACAGTTCCTAAAAAAACATTTTTTCTGAAACGCCACTGTTTTATTAACAAGACTTTCAGGAGGCTTCGTTAAAATCATCGGAATGCGCTCTGTGAGACCGTCTGGCGACCACCAAAGACGATCTTGTGTCTTTAAAGGTATCGCTGGACAGGTACTACCAAAAAACAAACAATATTCTCGAGCCCGATGCTGCGATTTGTTTGAATAGCTCGTTTACTGGTCAGGAAACCAAGGCGTAAGAAATTTCATGACAGGAAAAGTAAATATTTGGATAGTTGTCCCGCTTGGGGGCAAAGAAAGTAATGGAATAACATTTTTTCTGTTGCTATGTGTTATTTATTTAGTTATAAGTTAGGTAACGACTATTTAACACCAAAAATAAATTCTAAAATTTAACATCTGAGATATACAGGCAACCAGTAATACACTTTTAGATCAATAAAAAAGATTTAACAATAAATATTCATGAAAACAATTGTTACATTCCGAAATTAAGTCTAGGTACCTAAAGAACAATTATAAATCGAAAAATAGTATCAGAATCCGCAAAATTCCATTATATATTCAATTTAAAATTGACTAAATAGCCACAACCAAAATTTTTGTCGTACCTATCATGTACTAGAGATGGGCAAAAGTAACCGGTTTTTTGAATAACCGGTATTTTCCTCTAAAATAACCGGTTATTTAAAGGTAGTTTTTTTTTCACCAGTTAACCTAATAACCTTGCATTACGTTCACTAACCTATAGCCGGTTATTTTTTTAAAAATCGTACTTATTTAAAACAAGTAACAATTAAATATTAGCTGTTTGAATCGTAAATTTCGAAGAAGCGAACGGCACGGATCTTCCAGATATTACGACGATAACGGGAGATCCCTCCCGCTCCCAAAACGAAAATATATGACATCAAACATCAAATGTCAAAATTAAATCAGGCATCAGGCGAACCCTGATGATAATAATCAAAACAACGGCCGAATGGCCCCTGACAGGTCAGGCCGTAAAACAAAGTACTAATGGCATAGACTACTACTAGCCACCAGCTAGCCAAGTGATACGAACCTAACTTCAAATAGATTCTCTAAATTCTATATTTAAATTTTTACCGACTTTAACGGATTTTCAACGGTTCTTCAAAAGTTTTCCATGGTTTCGCCCAGTTTCACCCACGTTTCACCGTAAATATATTTTATTTGCAGTTTGAAGTCTCTCTTGAAGCTTATACTAAAGAATACAAAATTGAAGTTCAAGTAATGAATGAAGATAATCTTTCATTATCTATTCATTCAGTCTCCTTATTTTTCTTTGGTATTTGATTAAAATAACTTGGTTGTAGATTGTAGAACTTGTGAGTTGTGTGGTTTATTTGAACTTTAAGTACTTACTAGTTTTAATATCATATCCATGTCTACTCAAAAAAGTGAGGTTAGCATTTTTATTTAAATTCATTTTGTACATATACATACTTACATTGCTACAATCTCTATTTAATCATGCGATTTAACTAAGTTTATTATCTAAATTTGAAGTAGACCTATGGAGTGTAGAGGTAAGTAAACCTATAGGAAAACTAAATATTTAGTTTTGCTAGGTTAGGTTATTTGAATAACCGGTTAATTTGTGTCGGTTAATTTTGTCAAGTTATTATTTTTTAAAGATAATTCCGGTTAACCTATAACCGGTTTTTTACCAATAACCGCCCATCTCTATCATGTACGTATCAGAAGACACGGCCAAAATATTTCAGTCAGCTGTCAAGACCAATCTAACCTCACAATTACAAGGAAAAAGTCCAAAATGAAAAGTATTTTTAAAAATGTATAGATTTTTAAATACAGTACGTTTACCTTTAAGTTATATTCTACGAAATGGGCTTAGTTCAAACAGTGTAATACGAAATGTAACAGAGGACACGTTAAAATGTTACCCAAGAGTCAAATCTTCGTCATTTCGTCCCATAACACCTAAGGTAAATAAACCAAACGAATCTATATAACTATTTGACTAATACTTTTTTTAGAAATTAAGAATTATCCAACAAGAATATGCCGCTGTTTGCTCCCTGTTACATCGATCAGGGTTGAGAGATATTACACAACTCCATCCTTTTCTTGGAGCTGTGAGATCGTTCCATACAACAAATAAAAATGCCCAAGGCGATCCTTTAAAGCCGGACCCTGACAGACCGGATAGAGATGATGATAAGGATAAGTTATCCGCTTTAATTGCCAAGGCCTTGATGTGGATGCTGTCAGCATACATGCTTATTGCCCTGATTTCATTGATGTTTCCCAGTAGTAATCAGCCAGAGGTATGAGATAACTTTTTGGAGTGAATTTTTAATACTGTAAACAATATATCATGTTTTAGACAATGAGATATGTATCTTGGAGTGAATTTTGTTATCAAATGTTGGCAAAAGGAGAGGTACAACAGATTATTGTTAAACCTGATGTCGATTTAGTAACAATTATTCTACATCCAGGGGCTATAATTAAAGGAAAAAGGGTGGACACTCAGGTTTTCCATATGAACGTTGTGGATATAGAAAAGTTCGAAGACAAATTAAGAGAGGCTGAAAGAAGATTTGGTATAACCGATGGGGTACCGGTTACGTATGAAAGAAGCACAGACTCTGCTGGGAAGTTACTGATTTCATTACTTGTCGTGGGCTTGCTTCTTTCCATCCTGGCAAGAAGTAAAAGTATCCGACCTCCACTGGGTATGGATATTTTTGTATGTTTTTATCTATTTTTTGATATTTTATATTTAGCATTTTTAAAATTCTAGACACAAATGGGTAGAGCAAAGTTTACTCTAGTTGATCCACTAATGGGGCAAGGAAAAGGTGTACATTTTAGTGACGTAGCCGGCTTAAGAGAGGCTAAATTAGAGATAAAAGAATTTGTTGATTATCTTAAAAGACCAGAACATTACAAGGCTTTAGGTGCTAAAGTTCCCAAAGGAGCCTTATTGTTGGGTAGGTGATTGTTTTTGAAGTAAATAAAAATGTATTAATGCAATAATTCAGGTCCTCCTGGTTGTGGAAAGACTCTGTTAGCCAAAGCTGTAGCTACTGAGGCTAATGTACCGTTTCTGTCAATGAATGGTTCAGAATTTATTGAAATGATTGGAGGTCTTGGAGCTGCTAGAGTGAGGTAAATATTTTTTTTAAGTAAAAGTTTCTTTCAAGCACTGGTCAACAATGTTTCAAAGTGTTATTTAATTTTCTAGGGATATTTATTGTTTTTATTGTTATATTTTTCTATTTACATTTTATTTTATTGTCTTTTATTTGGGCTATTAATCTGTTAGGCCACTAAACCATTATTTATTTATTTATACAGAGTCATACAATTTTTTTTTTCTAGGGATTTATTTAATGAAGCTAGAAAACGGGCACCCTGTATAATATACATTGACGAAATCGACGCTGTTGGCAGGAAAAGAAGTGGATCTTTAGGCAATACAGGCACAACAGGGGAGAGTGAACAAACTTTGAATCAATTATTAGTAGAGATGGATGGGATGGCCAGTAAAGAAAATGTTATAATGCTGGCATCCACTAACAGAGCGGATATTCTAGATAAAGTATATTTTTTTTAATTTTTTATTATATTTTTTAAAATAATTTGAGTTATAGGCTTTGCTTAGGCCTGGAAGATTTGATCGGCATATTTTGATTGATTATCCTGATCTGACTGAAAGGAAGGAGATTTTTGAATATCACTTGAAAAGTATAAGGCTAGAGAATCCTCCTTCAAAGTTTTCAAAGAGGTAATTGTGAGAGTTTTGAGTCATTTTTTTTTTTTATATTTACCTATTTCTTTAATAGGTATAGTTCCTAATTTAGGTTATCTTATTTACCAACAGTTTTTGAGTTTTTTTTCAGTTATTTGTTTTTAATTTTTTTCTCTTATTTTTATTTTTATTTTTAGTTGATAGTTACACTCTTATTTTTATTTTATACCTATTTTTTTAAGTTAGACTTCCTAATTTAGGTTGCAAAGCGAGATTTTGAGCGTTTTTTAAGATTTTTTTTTAAATTTTTATTATTTTCATTTTTTAATATTTTGTTTATAGTAATACTTTTTTATTTTTTACCAATTTTTTAATAGTTATACTTCCTAATTTAGGCTAGGTTATTTAACACCAGTTTTTGAGTTTTCTTTAAGTCTTTTATATTTTTCTTTTTCTTTTTTTAATTTTTCTTTTGTTTTTTTTTCATTTTTCTTTTTTTAATTTTTCTTTTTGTTTTTATTATACTTTTTAATTTAGGTTAGCTTATTTGACACCTGGATTTAGTGGAGCTGACATAGCTAATGTCTGTAATGAAGCGGCACTGCATGCCGCCAGATCTAAACAACATAAAGTCACAGGAGCGGATTTAGAATATGCTGTAGAAAGGCTTGTAGGTGAGTTATACATTTATACATTATTATTTATCGTTTTTCGTCTTATTTAGGTGTAATTTTTAATGCAATTAATGTATTTTTATCATTTCTATTAGGTGGAACAGAAAAAAGGTCACATTCGATGTCACCTCAAGAAAAACGCGTGGTTGCCTATCATGAGTCTGGTCATGCTTTAGTTGGGTGGATGCTTGAGCATACTGATGCTCTTCTGAAAGTGACCATCGTGCCTAGGACTAGTTTGGCGCTTGGTTTCGCCCAGTATATACCAAAAGACCAAAAACTTCACACTAAGGAAGAGGTAGGTTATTATTTATTTATTTATTTATTTTTATTATCTTTTTTTTGTTTTATTATTTTTTCATTTATTTCATTACTTATTTCATTAACAGTCAAGTAATTCTTTTATAGCTCTTTGACAGGATGTGTATGACATTGGGAGGCAGGGTTGCCGAATCGCTCACGTTCAACAGAATTACCACTGGTGCTCAGAATGACTTGGAAAAAGTAACCAAAATGGCGTATGCCAACGTAAAAGAGTTCGGCAATAACGACACAGTTGGTTTGGTCAGTTTTCCTGAGGAAGAATCCAAAGAATTAGGCAAAAAACGTTCTATTTTATTTATGTTTTTTATTTAAATATATTTTTTTACAGGGAGAAGACCTTACAGTAAAAAACTTGCAAATCTGATTGATTTAGAAACACGAAAATTAGTGACAAAGGCTTATCAAAGGACTGAGGAAGTGTTGAAGGAACACAAAGATAAGTTGGCGCTGGTAAGAAGAAAAAACAGTGTTTTTTCAGGTTATGTTTGTTATTGATTGTTTTTTATAGCTTGCAGAGAACCTGATAAAGAAAGAAACGTTGAATTATGATGATGTAGAGCAACTATTGGGTCCACCACCTTATGGAGCTAAAAAACTGATCGATCCTGCTGAATTTGAAGAAACTATTAGGAAAGAAGGGGCAGTTTCGACTGAAGAGAACAATAGCTTCAAGCAAAATGCGTGATTCGATTCTTTTTTAAATTGTAGATATTTATTATTAAATAAATTATAAAGCAAATCATTGAAACTGTTTTTTTTTGTCCTATTGAGAAGTATAAAACAAAAGTATTAAATTATTTTTGATGTATGGATGCTGAAGAGCGACGTGTGTTTTACAGAAAGATTTTTTTAGAATTTATCCATATTCATACACTTCAATATTTTGTATATCTTGAAATGCATAATATATGAGAAACTGCGAATAGAATCATTAAGTATGCAGCCAACAATACATTAAATCGTAAATATCCTATTTATTATTTTCGACCTTATGTCGATTACGCTTAGGGCACAAATTAAACAAGCTAATCCAGAGATGACATTAGGGTAAAGCGTATTGTTAGTTGCATACCTTTTTTACAGATTATTAACAGGAAATATGAAAATTAATACAGGAAAAATTACTTTCTTTTTTCATAGTTACATGTTCGTTATATGAATTACTACTAACTGCAAATAATATGACGAAGTATTTGTTTTTAATTATACGGATATAATCTTCTTGTGGATTGTTTAGCACTTTCACTATGTTATAGAGAGAATTATGAGTACCTGCTTGAAGAAAAATATATTTAAAATTTTACCAACCACTTCAAATAACTTGAACAGTAATTTAAATGATTCAAAAGTACTTTAAATTAACAGAATTTTCTTAAAATGCTTTTTATTCTCTAAAAATACCTAAGAGGATTAACCAGAGCTCTCTGACATCAACAGTACAGCATATTGGGATGATATTAACAATAAATATTGTTTATATATTGAGTTAAAAAAATATCAAAGTATAATTCTACTTGCAGTAAAAGGAAAGCTTTGAAAGAAAATTGAGTTATTAACTGTAAAACAGACATAGAACACTTTCTAGTGCATTTAATCTAGTTTTAATGACAATTATGCGCGCAGATGCGCTCCTGTATAATATACATTGACGAAATCGACGCTGTTGGCAGGAAAAGAAGTGGATCTTTAGGCAATACAGGCACAACAGGGGAGAGTGAACAAACTTTGAATCAATTATTAGTAGAGATGGATGGGATGGCCAGTAAAGAAAATGTTATAATGCTGGCATCCACTAACAGAGCGGATATTCTAGATAAAGTATATTTTTTTTAATTTTTTATTATATTTTTTTAAAATAATTTGAGTTATAGGCTTTGCTTAGGCCTGGAAGATTTGATCGGCATATTTTGATTGATTATCCTGATCTGACTGAAAGGAAGGAGATTTTTGAATATCACTTGAAAAGTATAAGGCTAGAGAATCCTCCTTCAAAGTTTTCAAAGAGGTAATTGTGAGTGTTTTGAGTGATTTTGATTTTTTTATTTTTATATTTACCTATTTCTTTAATAGGTATAGTTCCTAATATAGGTTATCTTATTTACCAACAGTTTTTGAGTTTTTTTTCAGTTATTTGTTTTTAATTTTTTTCTCTTATTTTTATTTTTATTTTTAGTTGATAGTTACACTCTTATTTTTATTTTATACCTATTTTTTTAAGTTAGACTTCCTAATTTAGGTTGCAAAGCGACATTTTGAGCGTTTTTTAAGAATTTTTTTTAAATTTTTATTATTTTTATTTTTTAATATTTTGTTTATAGTAATACTTTTTTATTTTTTACCAATTTTTTAATAGTTATACTTCCTAATTTAGGCTAGGTTATTTAACACTAGTTTTTGAGTTTTCTTTAAGTCTTTTATATTTTTATTTTTCTTTTGTTTTTTTAATTTTTCTTTTTTTCATTTTTCTGTTTGTCATTTTTCTTTTTTTAATTTTTCTTTTTGTTTAAAATTATACATTTTAATTTAGGTTAGCTTATTTGACACCTGGATTTAGTGGAGCTGACATAGCTAATGTCTGTAATGAAGCGGCACTGCATGCCGCCAGATCTAAACAACATAAAGTTACAGGAGCGGATTTAGAATATGCTGTAGAAAGGCTTGTAGGTGAGTTATACATTTATACATTATTATTCATCGTTTTTAGTCTTATTTAGGTGTAATTTTTAATGCAATTAATGTATTTTTATTATTTCTATTAGGTGGAACAGAAAAAAGGTCACATTCGATGTCACCTCAAGAAAAACGCGTAGTTGCCTATCATGAATCTGGTCATGCTTTAGTTGGGTGGATGCTTGAGCATACCGATGCTCTTCTGAAAGTGACCATAGTGCCTAGGACTAGTTTGGCACTTGGTTTCGCCCAGTATATACCCAAAGACCAAAAACTTCATACTAAGGAAGAGGTAGGTTATTATTTATTTATTTATTTATTTTTATAATTTTTTTTTTCTTTTATTATTTTTTCTTTTATTTCATTACTTATTTTATTAACAGCAAAGTGATTCTTTTATAGCTCTTTGACAGGATGTGTATGACGTTGGGAGGCAGGGTTGCCGAATCGCTCACGTTCAACAGGATTACCACTGGTGCTCAGAACGACTTGGAAAAAGTAACCAAAATGGCGTATGCCAACGTAAAAGAGTTCGGCATGAACGACACAGTTGGTTTGGTCAGTTTTCCTGAAGAGGAATCCAAAGAATTAGGCAAAAAACATTCTATTTTATTTATGTTTTTTATTTAAAATTTATTTTTTTACAGGGAGAAGACCTTACAGTAAAAAACTTGCAAATCTGATTGATTTAGAAACACGAAAATTAGTGACAAAGGCTTATCAAAGGACTGAAGAAGTGTTGAAGGAACACAAGGATAAGTTGGCGCTGGTAAGAAGAAAAAACAGTGTTTTTTCAGGTTATGTTTGTTATTGATTGTTTTTTATAGCTTGCAGAGAACCTGATAAAGAAAGAAACGTTGAATTATGATGATGTAGAGCAACTATTGGGTCCACCACCTTATGGAGCTAAAACTGATCGATCCTGCTGAATTTGAAGAAACTATTAGGAAAGAAGGGGCAGTTTCGACTGAAGAGAACAATAGCTTCAAGCAAAATGCGTGATTCGTTCTTTTTTAAATTGTAGATATTTATTATTAAATAAATTATAAAGCAAATCATTGAAACTGTTTTTTTTTGTCCTATTGAGAAGTATAAAACAAAAGTATTAAATTATTTTTGATGTATGGATGCTGAAGAGCGACGAGTGTTCTACAGAAAGAATTTTTTTAGAATTTATCCATATTCATACACTTCAATATTTTGTATATCTTGAAATGCATAATATATGAGAAACTGCAAATAGAATCATTGAGTATGCAGCCAACAATACATTAAATCGTAAATATCCTATTTATTATTTTCGACCTTATGTCAATTACGCTTAGGGCACAAATTAAACAAGCTAATCCAGAGATGACATTAGGGTAAAGCGTATTGTTAGTTGCATACCTTTTTTACAGATTATTAACAGGAAATTTGAAAATTAATACAGGAAAAATTACTTTCTTTTTTCATAGTTACATGTTCGTTATATGAATTACTAACTGCAAATAATATGATTAAGTATTTGTTTTTAATTATACGGATATAATCTTCTCGTGGATTGTTTAGCACTTTCACTATGTTATAGAGAGAATTATGAGTACCTGCTTGAAGAAAAATATATTTAAAATTTTACCAACCACTTCAAATAACTTGAACAGTAATTTAAATGATTCCAAAGTACTTTAAATTAACAGAATTTTCTTAAAATGCTTTTTATTCTCTAAAAATACCTAAAAGGATTAACCAGAGCTCTCTGACATCAACAGTACAGCATATTGGGATGATATTAACAATAAATATTGTTTATATATTGAGTTAAAAAAATATCAAAGTGTAATTCTACTTGCAGTAAAAGGAAAGCTTTGATAGAAAATTGAGTTATTAACTGTAAAACAGACATAGAACACTTTCTAGTGCATTTAATCTAGTTTTAATATTAATTATGCACGCAGATGCGCTCCAAGTACCATCTGTCTTACCCCTAGACCGTGTTCCTTACGAGGTACTATGCGTTTTGCATTCAAAGTACTGCTGCGACAAAAAATAATTAGTTCTATAGGTACCTTTCACTGGAACTTTCTATGATATTTATAATAATAAAATCTTTTTATTTATTAGATGCTTTTTCTTAATTTTTTCCTTGTATATTAATTCAAAAAAAGTGGTACCAGTTTTTTTAAATACAATACTTATTTTTCTAAAGCTTTTCACTCATACCATACCAATTTTTTCGTAATTACAACATTACAAACGAAAGGCAGATTTTTATTTAAGGTATAGTTTACAGAATTTGGTCAGTCCATTCAAAATGGATAAAATCAATAGAATCCACTTCTGTAGATAGAGCTTGTAATGGGCTTGTTCTGTAACTACTTTATTTGAAACAGTATGTCGGTGTTTGAACTGAAAAAGTTGTCGTAGGAGGTGTAGGAATAATATTTTTGTTCAAGCTTTAGTGTGATCATCACTGAGATTCTTTATAATTGGTAAATTAATTGTTTGAGGTTTGCGTTTTGGTTTAGAGGTAATAGTTTGTCCCAAATAAATAAAAATATCAAAGTTGTATCTTTTTAAATGGGACACCCTATATATTATTACATTTTTAGTCTCTACGATTAAAATAAAGGTAAATTTAATTAAGGTTTATCGCACTTTAATCTTACTGTTTCTGAAATATTTACGATTTTGTGAAAATATACAGTAACAACATTTTAATGCTCTATTTCTCTAGGCGTATTTGAATTTTTAAAACCAAATATTGTAGTGAAGTTTTTCTATTTACTAAATTTTATGTTGCAATAAAAAAAATAATACTACTTTATACAGAGTGTCTAAAAATTAATTTTAAATAATTACTCGTTATAAACCGCAATAGTTTGTTTAATTTAAATGGAACACCCTGTATATTTTACGAGAATCAGATGCACAATTTAATTGTCTATCAAATTGTATTATACCATCTTTTACCTATCTCATCAAGTTTTCGTAGAAAATGCATTTTCTTATCAATTAGACCTCATTTATCAATATATACCTATGGAATATTGACATTTTAGATACCGTATGATCGAAAAAAAAC